TTCTTCTTCTTCTTCTTCTTCTTCTTCTTCTTCTTCTTCTTCTTCTTCTTCTTCTTCTTCTTCTTCTTCTTCTTCTTCTTTTTCTTCTTCTTCTTCTAGAACGTGTTAGATAGGACAGCTATAAGACTGTCATATCTGACAAAGGATAACATGACATGGCGCAGAATTTGAAACCAGGACCAGGAAGATTATGCTATTGACAGCAACAAGGAAGTGTGCGTATAATATACTGTGAATATTGTCAGCTCTGTTTCTATACTGGTAGTTATCGCGAGCAGTTATGTAATACAACCTAACCCGGTTGATAGTTCTAAATCCAGACTGACAACCACAGTTATTTGTTCAGTTTGATTTGATAAGAGTTTTACGTAACGTGCAACACATTTAAGTCATATAAGTGTCGAGGATTAGATGTTCTACAAGAGAGTATCAAATACAAAAAGAAAAGAGAAGAGAAAAAGACAACGGATTTTTTATAGGGAAGGAGCAAACCACAGCAGAGCACCCGCGAACCACCCACGTATGGAAACCACACGTATTGGGATGATTGAAAAGTACCAGAAATACATTTGTAGGTCATACTTCTTTCCATTATATCCGATTTCATTTCTTGCATGCTGTAAAGAGTCTGGCTCTGTGAGATAATACAAGGGCTTGGTTTTACAAGCAGAACTTCCAAACCTGTACACATGAAATGTTGTTGTTGTTCTTATGGAAGGAAGAAGTTGTTTGTACCTTCAGCAGCAAGAGAAGGTTGTCGACGAATAAATCGAACAGATTCCGCTCAACAAATCTCCACAGGTTGTTATTCCTTTTACAAATCTGCTCAGTCTTCACTCAGCTGAAAACACTGTGCCCAGGATAACTACTGGGTTTTTTATGTGTTTTAAAAATTATTTTTGTTGATGTGTTTTTTCGTTTTTTGTCTGGGGTTTACTTTTTATTTTCTGAATGTTAATGCTTTTCTTTTTAAAAGAAGAATAAGAATGCGCTTAACAAACACGCAGTTGAAAAACTTGAATTTTTTTTTATAGCTTCAAGTTGATTGTTCTAAAAACAATGGGATTTTTAAAATTACAAATGCAGAATAACAAATAACGCATATGTTATTTATTCAAAAGGTGTTGTCCTGTAATGAGCAATATACTCCCCCCC